AATCTGACATTAGATTTTCCATTTTTACAACATGGATCTTCTGATCCCTGGAGAATGTGCAACCCATGAAAGAGGAAGCACAGGTCTCTTTTATGGGAGCTACCAAGAAGATTAAACATCTGTGTATATCAAGGAGCACAATAATGTTTATTCCAAACTTATTTACTAAAGGCTGGCCCTTTTAGCAGGGCAAGAATTCAGTAGCACAGGCAAGAACCATTGAGATGAATCTAAAAAACAGATGCTTTCCTACCTGTTTCAATTTTAAGCTCTTCTCATGTCCCCAGAGGTTTGCCTGGTGCCCTCTCTCTACTCCTTTTGGTGCCAGGAGAAGACCTTTTTATTTGCCCAGTATTTTAATCAGTAAAGTAATTTTAAGATATTTTAATATGGTATTTATTGTATGTTAGAGCTACTGTGCCTTTGATTTAATCGAACTGTGGTTGTTGTGAGGTTTTATTGTAAGGTTTCTCTGTGTTTTATTGCTGCTATTGTTGTAGTACGTATGTCTAATTTAATATTATTGTTTTATTGTGCACGCTGCTCTTACTATATTTTGTAAGATACCCAGTAAGTCATTCTGGCTAATGGGCAGAGTAGATAATCAATCAATCAACCAACCAATGTCTAAAATTAGACCAGTTTAACAGACTAGTGCAAACATGATACAGTGGGACCCCCTATATCCACTGTCTCAGTTACTATGGTTTCACTTAATCGTGGCCCTCCATATTCTCAGGGACTAGGGGCACAGGATCTCCAAAAAAGTGGAAAAAACACAAATATCTCGAGAGACTTTGTCCTCACTCAGAGACAAATGTGAATGAGGCTGGCTAGTACCAGGGCAAAAAGCATGGTGTCCCCTAGAGATATTCACAGTTTTAGTGAACAGCTCTAGGGAAATAGTGTGAAATATATAGTGTTTGCTACTATCCACGGTTTCAGGCACTCACTGGGGGGGCTTGGAATCTATTCTCTGTAAGTATGGGGGTCCTACTGCACTCCCAAGTATTTAACCATGATTAAGTACGCAGAAACTCCACATTTCAGCACATAAATTCCCCACTACCTGGTCAAATTGTATTCAGCTACTAAGTCTGCAGCATGACTGCACCAAATCAGACAATATGTTTCCCACATCTGGCCCAGCACATGAAAAGAAGCATCTGCACATAACCTTTTTCATGACATGCTATCCCCCACATCCACCATTCCTTGTGTTTACCTATGAAAGGAATGCAATATTTGCACAGCTGTTTTCTTGACTTTCTGCAACACATAGGCAACATTTGGATGTCCTGACCCTGTGTGCAAATGTGGGGAAAGCAGATCTGGGGACAGTGTTCTAAAAGGCAGGGAAGAATAGCATGCATCATTCCTCTCTACACATCAAGGTGGACCAAGGAAGAAACATCCTCTGATCCTACCCATCAACTGCAGTTAGAGCTAAGTTGCTTAACCCAGAACCAGATATTTACTTTAAATCTGATACTTTTCTTTAAATTGTCCTTCAAAGGAGTGCGGGGAGGGGAGAGAGAGTGATGACTGATGCAAATGTGCACGGAACTTGAAAAATAAAACTAGTGTCAGAATTCCCTCTTACAGTTCTTAGTCATCCATAACAATGCACACAAAATCCATCAAGCTTTTACAGAGTCCGAAATACATGGTTCTCAGCAGTTCTAAGCTCCCCACCCTAGATTTCTGACTAGAAACCTAAATCCTCTTGATTATAAATTCCAAGTCCAATTCATCTAATATGTATGGACTTTTTCCTGTTTCCATGTCTTTTAGCTACCTTCCAGATTCATTTGGTCCAACTTTTATCTGGTCGTTGATATTCTTCCTGGACACCTTTCCATTGAATAAGCAGAACCTCTGAGTATACTTAAAGTTCACCACAGAAGAAAAAAGACTATACTCCCTGCACCGCGAACTCACCATATGTGATAAAAATTAAAGGCAGTAATATAGAAACAACAGCTATGAATAATTCTGCCCAACTACTAATTTAATTTCAAGGAAATGGCAAACTAAAATAAGTTACTAAATTCTCAAGTTCTGCCTTCTCTGGGGCTCAAATTATCAGATACAGTTTAAAACCATGTTGATGTTTTCACTATAAATACAAACATTAAGTGGTCTGGTCCACAAGTCTTACCACTCTTCACTCTGACTTGGCAATAAATCCCTAAGGTAAAGACGTTTCTCAGTTCTGCTATCTGAGGCTGTCAGGAGTTGCGGCTATGCTTGGATCATGACATTTTGGATTGAGCTTTCTTACCCTGTACCACCTGAACAAATGCATTTGCATTTTATTGCTAAACTTCCTGCACCCTTGTTCTCTCATATCCCTGGTTAACATTACAAGACTTTCGGTAACAGTGGCATCCTACCACTCCCTAATTACAGTCTTGTAATGTCAAACAGTGCCTTTATTTAATAATTACCAGCCCTACAAATAACAGTTTTGTGGGACAATGTGTACCAAAAGACTAATCAAGCAGCTGCTTTAGTAGCAAATTAAATGGTTGTGGCTGAAATTAAAGGAGCTCAGTGTATCTATTCCCATCATTCAAACATAAGCAGGTTGGCCCTCAAAATAAGGATATATGTATTATTCAAACTTCAGAAAGGTATGTCCATGGTTCCAGATGAGTGGCTGGTAAAATGGGCATAATTTTTGCAAGTAAATTGGAAAGTCAAAGTAGCATTATTCATAGTAAGTTCAAGGTATGTTGCCTGAAATAGTTTGGAACACTCCACAAAGCAAAGAATAATAATAAAAAAACCAATCTCCGGGAAGGACCAGTTAGAAAGGGTATGAGGCTGTTGCAACATCCAAAATATTATTGATGGGACCTATTTTGTAAGGACCATCAAGCTTGAAGACCTGACATTATTTTTGTTGTGTAATGCTTTTCTTGAACTACACCAGAGCTAGGCAATTTGTAGCCCTCCAGATGCTTTGCTCCAAACTTCCCTTCGTGCTTCACTATGGCTTATGATGTCTGGGGCTGATGGGAGTTGTAGGCCAAACAACTGGAGGAGCAGAAGTTGCCTAACCCAAACCATCGTCACAGATTATGCTTTTTGCCATTTGGATGGCAGGTACAAATAGTTCCTGTCCTCCATCAGATCCATAATTTAAATCAGATGGTGAATAAAATTCATTATGTACTGAAATGCCCCTCAAGGCTGGCCAAGAAAAACTTTCTTGGAAAACATTTTGTTTAAATTAATAATCTGTTATGATAAGGAAGTGCTCTGGGTTTGCTTTTTTTGCCAGAAGACACTCAGCTTTTTATGACTTGTAGAACAGTTTTGTGTGTTTTAGCAGCAAGGAAATGGAAAGGATCAGAGTACTTAGCGTAGGAGATGCCTTGATATAATAGATAACAGATCTTTTAGTTTAAGCCAAGATTTTGTTATATTAGGTAAAACATATTCTATTTTAACTTCTATTATTTCTGCTGAATGACTAATCCTTTATTGCACTGCAACTTTTGGAATGGAAATTTTCTATGAAAAGTCTACCTGGACGTTGTCAAGGTCAATGGCTAACACAATAAAGTTGTTCCTGTAGGATGCAATATGATTAATTAAATAAACAAATGGACATGGTGGGCACATACAACCAAATGCATCACTTCGCACAGGCCTAAAGATTCATCAACGAGAAAACTAAAAATGTGAGCCGAATGCATGGACTGTTTCACCTTCTCCTTGCTACCACCATATCTTCTCTTCCTCAGCTCTCAGAACTTTAGCCCTCTTCAGGTGCTTTATATCTAAGTAGGATAAAAGGAGAGGAGAGGCAGGGCACTAGCTTCTCCCAGTCTTAGCACATTCTATTACATAGGGATATATCTTCCTATTTGTGGTAGCTCTCTAAGAGATTTGGAACCCTGGTTTTTCAGCCTACTCAAGAAGACCTCACCAGGACTTGTATCTCTTCTTGTTTTCTCCCTGTTCTTTATTTTCAGCATAATGTTCTTTCTTTTATGCATCCTACTTAGATCCAAACCCTTTCTTCTAACAGACATCCCTTGAAGCAGGACTTGATTTGAGCCTCAATATTCCAGGGTACAGCTTCAAAATGTCTTTCAGCATCAGAGTTCAGCTCTGGTAGATATGAAAGAGAAGAACAGCAGCTGTCATGAGCTAGGGTTCCTCCCTTCACACATTCAGAATCACAGACCTTTCTTGCAAAATGTTCTTTCTTGCCAAATCAAAGTGTTTTCCAGACACACAAACACAGAGACTGAATCTCTGAGCATGCACAAAGTGGTTAGTTGAACCCAATCTAGTATGCACCTCCAGGAACTCTCCTTAGGAGCATGCCAAGTCTCCCTTCAAAGAGACTTTCTGAAAGTGAGCATGCCTCCTCTTCACACTCTGATCCTCTAATTTGGATTGCCCTCTGCTAATGACGCAGCACAGGGGCAAGAGCCATGACCACCTCATCTGTCTCTCTGAAACTCCCCTGTTCCAAGTCCCCTCCTGCTGACTGTACAACTTGGTTATTCCCAGACTCTGCCTGGCCACTGGGGACTCCAGCCTTGAGAGAAGTGGAAGCACTTCTCACGGCTCAAAGTCTGGAACTGGCCCACATTCCATGGTCCCCTCCTGTGCCTCTTCCTCCTCCTCTGACTCCATTTCTGGAGACCAACCAGCAGCCCCCGAGAACATGCACACAAAGCAGCTGCCTTTCACACTCCCAACAGCTGCTGTACACATTTCAGAACACCTTTCTAACCCTGAGTCACTGCAACAGTGCCCACTCACTGGAGAAAGGCCCCAGGTCAGTGGCTGCCATGTCCAGCCAGCTTGAGACCTGCCCTCTCTCAGTTAGGCACTCTTAGAAGATGCACACATCATACTGCAGCAGAAAGAAATGGCTTTCCTCTGCCTCCCTCCAGACAGCTTCCAACAAAAATTTTAGAAATATGTACATTTATGCTGATAGGTATTAAACTCTTTGAAAGCCAATGGCTCACCTCTCCTTGCCAGATAGGATTGACTGTATTACACATGATCTTCGATCTCTTCTCCTGTCCGTGGTGAGGAAGAGCTGGAAATATGCTATGCTTTCCAGGCTGGATAGAAATCTTTAGATAAGGGTCTGGATTGAAGAACATGCCTTTCTTCAACCCAAAGGCCTGGAAATCTGCATAAGATTAATAATTCCTATTAGCATTCACTTCAGCCAACATTTTATCCATAAGCCATTTTTTGTCTCCCCTGCTTTTGTAATATTTCACATTCATGGCAGCAATGTCAACCAAAGCAACATTCAGAACAAGTAAAAGATATTCCAGCAGGATTAAACTGCATAAAGATCATGGTTAAAAACTGCAGCGACCTCATGGGAACAGACCAGACTGGCTGGAGGGCTCCAAAGACGATCAGAGCCTTCCAACTGTAGGTACAATCATGCAAGGGCAGTCCTCTGTTTGAAGGGCCGTCCTTTCCAATTTTGATTTTAAGATAGAGAACTGCATGGACTCTTGCCCATCAACAGCACCTGAACAATAGAATGCACAGGCCACCTGGGCACGGCCTTTCCCACTGAGATATACTGCATTTCTGTTCAAATGATAATACTCATGCCTAAAATGTATGCAGATATTATGCAACCACTGTCCTCTCCAGACCTCTTTTTTGGTGATGTTTCCCCCTTTATTCGGCAATTCATACTCTCCACTTGCAGCAAGTGGCTGTGTTGTGATTAAGGTCCAACAGTGTGAGAGTTTGGGCCAGGGAAAGGAAAGAGGCCTGCAAAATTGCACAGCCCTGTTTAAGAAAGCAACTTTGAAGGAGAAACGGCGTGAAAGGGGTAAGAAAAAATCCTCCATAGTTGCTGGAGGAAGAGGAAGAGGAGGAGGAGGAAAAGATTTAAAAATGTAATCTCCTCCCTCTTTTCCTGAGACTCTGGTCAAGCCAAGGTAGGGAAGGGTTGCTTTCATGGGCACTGCAAACCTCTCTGTTTCTCCAGCCCAAATAACACATGACTGGAACTTCCAAAATGTTAGTTTACTCTCTGCTCTGGAACTCAAGAAAGAAACCCAAACCGAGGAATTTCCAGACAAGCATTTTCTGTGGTCTTCGATTCCAGTGCCAGCTTACAGTATTTCAAGAAAAACACAACAGCCTTATCCACTAAGAACCCACCCCTCACCCATGAAAATATTTTCACCTTGTCAGAATGCCTCTGAAAATGGGTTTGCCCAGGCTGTCAAATTTCTAAAGCTTTTGTTGATTAAAAAAAATGCAAAAGAGTTCAGTGTACTTTGGTTTTCCCAAGGTAATTCTTGGGTGCATAAGAACTGAAGAAAATCAAAACAGCAGTTAACATTCTGTGTGTATATTTTTACACCAAGACCTATTGACGAATGACATTAATATACCATACATCATTTCTGATTGCTCATAAATCATAGACCTCCTTACAACAAGTGGCGCATATCAATCAGTTTGAAAATGCCAGGCAATTTCTCAGAAACAGATCACTGGAGCAGGGAAGAAACAGAAGGCAGAGCAAGCACATTTTTCTATACATTTTCTCAATCATTCAAAAACTCATATGAAGTCCATAACAAAATGATAGAGTAGCCCATTTCTTGGAACTAAATGATTTAAGAGCAATGGAAACTGGATGACTTACTTGGAGAAATTATACTTTCTCGGGAAATAATACAGAGCAATTGAACATTCCCATGATATGGACAGTTTTACATAACAGGGGTAATAGCCATGGAATAGATAGTCTTTGAAGACAGACGGAATGCTATAATGGGCAGACTGTTGGATTTGGATGCAAAAAGATGCCATAAATGTATTAAACAATCAGGAACACAATGCTTTCTCTTCTGAATCCATCCCACAGGCTACAAAGTAAGATATTATCCAAGGATCCATCCCACAGTGTACAAGATATATGGTATACTTTTGTGAAGCTGGAGGACATGTAAATGCTCTAAATGGAATCAAGAGACTTTAATTATAATTAATTATCATTAGAAGAAACACTGGTGGAAGGAAGGTCTTAAAAGGCAATTGGACAGGGCAAAAAAAATCTGTAGAGTAGAACTGAATTTGAGGAGGAGTGAAATCAGCCAAAGATTCTTTCAGGGAATGAAAACAATCAAAAATCTTGGTTACAAACTAACACATACTTTGGTAGAAGCTTTCATGGACACTTCCTACCTAATCAGGTGCCTTAGAACAGTTTACTAAGTTTTTTTTAACAAGAGGGTATCCAGATATGACATAGAGTCATAGTAAGACCATTCAAAAGGAAGTGGCAGAAGACTTTCATGGATACATAGCAAGTTATGAAAGCGTCTGGTAATATATGGCATGGGGAACAGTTGATAACATATGGCAGAGATATGGAGCCCTCTTCCATTCAGGAAAGCTCTCTGGGGCCATGTGCTTCTGTCCAGGGGAAGAAGCTGCTGAGTGATATGAAGAACTCCAACTTGTAGAGCAGAGGTTCCCCGTGTCTGAAGTATGAGATTATGGCAAAATACAGCAGGGTGGCATATTTTTCCACATTATGTAAGTGCTGAACAAAATCCTGCCAGGAAATGGGATAAAAATATGAAACAGAACAATGCAAAGCTTAAAAAGTTCTATCTTTGGTAAAAGAAGAGAAATAAATTCACAAAGACAGCCTGAAGAAGTCTACAGGGAAAGGATTTACAGCTATGGGGGAAGAGGACAATCAGTTAAAACTGGGGACAGTGGTGATAAAAAATTAGTCTAGTTCATAAGCAGAAGAGGAAAAAGAATTAATTATTCACATATTGCTAACAGGGACAACAGTTTCTTAATTGTCTTCAAGAAGAATGAAAAGAAGGGGAAAACAGATCATTAAGGTTCCAATAGACTTTATAGGCACAATCCACTAAAATGCTGCATGGTACATTGGAGAGAAAGTTGTGACAGAGGCCAAGTTTGTTGGTATTTTGAGACCTGATTTTACCAACTAATTGTCTGAAAGAGCTCATTCTACCACCAGAAGTTTTTCCCACCCCTGCTTCTAACCAGGAATTGTAAGTTGCTTTGTTCTCTGCTTAGAGAGCCTTGTTGGGTTTTCAGGAGCCTATAAATTAAAAACAACAACAACAACTTCAAGTTTCAATTCTGCTCTGAAGCTCACTGGACAACCCTGGCCCAGTGGCTTTCAAAGTGCATTCAAGGAAGCACCGGAGCTCCTTAATAAGATGCTTAGAAATGGCAGACAAGCTTTCTTGAAGGGTAGCTTATCCAGCATTGCTGGTCTTCCCCTGCAAAATGATAGATGTATGGAGATGCCACTGCTGTGTGTTTGAGGGTGCACCAGGAGAGAATAAGACCCCACTTGAGTGGCCAGAGCCTAGGATAAATTGAGTATGTATCCCTAGTCTATGCTTTGAGTTCTTTGCAGATAAGCCCCATCAGTTACTCCTGGCCTAGTTTACCTAAAAATGTTTGCTGTGTGGATAAAGGAGGGAATTCATGTACACTACCCTGAACTTCTTGATGGATAGTCATGTAATAAATCATTCTGTTGTACAGGAGAGGGGTATGCAAAGGGAAATTATTTTATCCAAAGTCTCTGTGTGCCATAAAGAACTATCAGAAGGAAGAGTTTTACCTTGAAATTACCTATCAACAGCACCCGCACAACATACTATGTAAGGCATACTGGTTACCTGGTCAGCTTTCCACCCTCTGGTGATATGTGCTGTTTAAATTGTAATAAATCTTTCTAAATTTGCATCTATAAATACAAATTAGTATATGCAAATATTAGAGTCCTCTTTTTGGTGACACATTTTCTTATTTTTGACCATTTATAACTGGCTACTCTGTCTCCAAACCTATTTATTAGTCTGTAAAATTAAGCTTATATTTACTCATACAAAAGTTGTGCAAGGTACTAGTTACAAATCATGGTCTCCTAAATACCTGTAAACAAATTCCCTTAGGAAATTTTCTGATAAAAGATGAAGAGAGACGAATGGCTTAAGATTAGAGTAAAAAGAAGCAATGGCATGATTGTCATGGAGAATATGCAAAACATGGATCAGGGACTGCCCAGTGGCAGCGCAGGAAAAAAGATTTATTACGGCAACCGGTAAAAACAAAAACATACCAGCAATCAAAAGGGCATGTAAGGAACAGATGTAGTACCATATGAGCCCTATATTTGCAGGTGAGGACTTGCAAATTGTTTCTCTTTCTATTTCCTTAGAACAGTAGGATGATTATTTAACAAGAAGATGACCAAAAGTGGTACAGCCAGCAGGAAAACCCAATCATATTCACTTTCCCAGGCTTCAGTGTGGAATAATAGCTGCAATGGATAGCTATTTGGATCTAGAAAAAGACACATAAAACTGAAATTCTGAGAGCTCTGCAATCATCTTGTGATTTCTCTTAAAATTCAATATATTAAAATGCTCATGATTTTTATTCAAGTCCAAAAATAAAAGGGAAATTTTTGTTTCTTTTAAAAAAAATCAGTCAACTTGGAGGACTTAGTCCAGCATTTGGGATAAATGGAGAGGGGATAAATAGACTGGGAAATGGACATGGGAGGTCTGGATTTAAAATTTCTCAGAGTCATGGAAATCCCCAATGGTTTTGGTCAGATTACCAGTTTCACCTAATATTTAACTATTATGATGATGTGACTATATAAACATGTGTACACTGCCCGACACTGATGGCAGGAAAGGCAAGATGCAATGATGATAATTAAAATCCAGGTCAAACAATTTAGAGATGCTTAAATCTCTTGTTCAAAAGTGTAGCAGCATTTTTCAACGTTACACTAAGTGTTATGACACAGTGGTTAGAATGCTTGACTGAGACTTGGTTGAGATGGATTCTAGTCTGCACTCTGCCAGGAAGTGACTTTGGGCCAGTCACTGACTCTCCACCCATCCTACCCACCACAGGGTTGTTTTAAGGATAAAATGGATAGAAAGATCATATGACCACCTTGTGTTCTCTGCAAGAAAAAAAGGGGGAAGCTAAATACATACATACATACCTGACAATGAGAAACTGATCAGTCTTCTGCTTCCCTGTCCTTGTCCTGAATCTTCATTGGCAATGCTTTTAAAAATCTGCTGGACAAAGAAAAATAACAGGGAAGCTGTCATCAATGTATCTTTAAAAAATAAGAATAACACTTGTAACACGTCATACTAATATTCCTATAGCCACAATCAAGTAGAAAATCAATGAAAAGTGTTCATTAGGCAGTTATTGATCAAAACACTTATTTGTCTAGTGAATGCTTTTAACAGTAAAGGGAAAATGGAGGCCATGGGAGACCTCCTTCTCAGAGCAGTAGAAGGCAAGGTAAGGAATTACAGTAATTTTATCAGAGTGTTTTCTAGTGTTGATAAAAAGAACATTCTCTTATCTTTACTGCTTGCAAACAGCTTGTATTTATTACAGGAAAACAAATGCACTTGCCAGAATAGGTATATTGTCTGTTATGGTAGTAACTGCTTCTGATAACCAACTGAAATATAAGGTTCCTGAATGTCAAACAAATAAAATAGCTTTGCATTTCTAAGCTACAGTCCCAAAGAGCTGCACATGAGGAGTCCTTTTCTATTAAAAAAAAAAGGGGGGGCATCACCAGAAAGTTTAGGAGCAAAGAGGAAAAGGGTGTCTGCATCACGCCTCTTCTACCCCTGCCCCCAGGAAACTTTTAAAAATTGGGTACTTGCATGCAAGCCTAGATGCTACATGAAGAAGGGAAAAGCACAAGCAGGGTACTATTAGCTGTTCGGTAATCAATGTAACACAATGTTGATGCAGCCTGATTGGATGCTGTCTCTCAAAGCCAGCCAAAGGGATGCGGAGGCCCTCTCCTCACTGAGTTGCCACTCATATAATGGAGGGAAAGCACTTCCTTCAGCCCGATGCCTGATTGGTCACCCAGACAACCTTAACCACCAAGCCAATCTCCACCTTGCTAACCTGCCACATTTCCCTAAGAACTTGATTTTTTGCTGCTATTTTAACGGAGCTGTCTGTATGGCATTTCGATCCCCTCAAACAAGGGTAGGAAGCCCCTTTTGGGTCTGTGGGCACTTTGGGCAATTTGGGAAAATGTTCTGGACATCAGCACAAAATGGCTGCCACGGGAGGTCTGCCAAAGGGAAAGTATCCAACTGCAAAGGCTGAGCACAGGGCAGAAGGAGCAGGCTGAGCCCACAAAACATCCTAAACAAGTGCTCTGAACCCACAGTTTTCAACAGCAAGAAAACTTGCTTCACGTAAATCTGCCTATAAGATTTTTTTTTTTTTTTAAGTGCGAGGGGTAAAACACCCTGCTGGGTACCAAGAAAGGTGCCTGGGGCTGACTTGGTGTCTACAGGTATGATTTTGCCTACCCCTACATTAGTCCCTAGATTTGTCTCTCCCTTATTTTCCTCTGTTGTTTTCTGTGATTGCTTAATTTAGACAGTTGTCACATTGAGGACAGAACCCAGTAAATTTGTCCCTTTGTTCCACTCTAACTCTGATTTTCTGGCCTCAATTGTGCTTTGCTGGATGCTTTAGGACCTAAAACATCTTGCAAAGCACAGTTAAGTCTAGAAAATCAGCATTTCGGAAAATCTGGCCAGATGTTTCTTTGGTAGAAATTTAGATGCTGAGCAACTTCCAAAAGCAGGTTACTTGCCTTTGACCAGTGTTGCTCTCCGATGAAAATGCTGTGTATTACTTCCACTTCAACCTGCCACCAAGTTGGCATGTGCTCTCCTGCAACACAACCTTGTCAATCCAAATGGCATTCAGGGCTATTTTAATTAGAATGGGTTTGAGCATGGGCCACACATTTAATCTGTCTTGCCTGAAACACTGAATAATCAAAGCCCAGCCCCTGTAACTATTTCTGAAGATGAGAACGTGAACTAACAAATAGGAAATATTTTCCTAGCACAGTCTCTATTCACTTCACTAGACAGTTAAACATATTTTAAGCATCTTGGAGTAAGGGAAGGCAGCATAACTAGAATGTACTTTGATGGGATGTGAATGGTATTATTCTGAAACCAATATTATCCAGGATTAAGCTTTATCAATGCCACAAACTAATGCAGATCCCAAGGGTCCAAGTGTAATGAGCATCTGTATTGTCTGCTTTTATAGCTTGTATATCTCTTCTCTATACTTCTCATCTAGGGTCTTTTTCAACCCAAGGGCCAAATTCCATGTCAGAGAAGTTATCAGAAGCCACATTCTAGTGGTGGATGAAGCCAAAAACAAAGAGATGGGACCAAAGACAAAAGTGGCAGAGTAAAAACTACCGAAAAAACCTCAGCATACTGTAATTTAAAGTTCTTATTACCAGAAACTAAACCTTAAGAGAGACCTTAAGGTCAAGGCAGAGGGGGTGGGCTAAGAGATTTATTTGTTTATTTGTTTATCATATGACATATATTGCCAGGAAGTCTACAATTTTTTTACACATAATGGCTGTTCTGGTGCCTGAGGTTTCTAGTCTGTTATTGTGCCGGTGCACCACAGGGGGTGAGCACAGGTTGGCCAGTGAAGTTCTTTATAAAGTCAGTTCATCTGGGGCTTTTCTCTGATGATCTTCTGCCAAGCACACTGAGGCAGATGTAGCATCGATGCTTGCTTTCATCTTGAACGAAGCCAGCCAGTTTCCCACCAGGGGGTGGTGGTTCCTATTTATCTACTCACAGATAGTATGCTTTCAAATTGCTGGGTGGGCAGAAACTCGGGGCAGACAATGGGAGATCACTCTGTCCTGTGAGGTTGGGCTCAAACCGTTTGAGTGACAACCATTTCTGATCAACAGTTGCAGCGACATTAAGCTGCTGTACCTCCATGTCCCCTGGCTAAGAGAGTAGAGTCAAAGGAAATGGGGCATGAGCTCCTGAGGAATCCAAGGGTAAGTCTGGGATCCCAAGCAGCCTAGATGTGGCCTCTGGACCGAGGTGCTTCATGCTTGCTTTACAGTATTCTCTCCATTCTGTGTTCCTTTTCTTTTCTCAAGTGACACACACTGACAAAATCCATTGTGCCACTGATGTCTAAATTTGCGATACAGGCAGTCCTACCAGAGTGATGAGATGGGGCTCCCTTGTGTCTTGCCAGAAAGGGCTGATATTTGTTGAAAAATTCAGACACACTGATTGATGCATCCATCCATCCATCCCTACAGTTATTGGAGTAGGAAGACCCCATGTAGTAGAGATGTGCGCGCGCACACACTTAATTCAAAATGGCAGCATAAGGGAGGGTGTAAGGATGCATTGTTACTCCCTGATGTTGCCTATGCTGTAGCTGATAGAGACAGTTGGGGAATGCTAGAGAACTATCACTATTGTCCAGAAATGCCAACCCACCCTAACTGGACCTAGAGAAGAGCATGACTGCAGAAGAAACTAATAACTAGGCTATACCACAGTTGCAAGAATGCCTTACCTGCCCAATCATTTCAAGAGCTGATACATGTGTGCATGTGCAAATACGCAAATGGGGAGCTCTCTGTGTTTTAAAAATAACATGTGTCTCCAGTTTTAATTTGAAAAACACACCCAGTGCTACAGGAATCCAAAAGTTTCAGAAAGACCCATCTTTTTAAACCTTTTCTAAGAACTTGAAAGAGGTCTCTTTTCTGGTAACCCAAATTCCTTATGAAGCACATCTTAACTATATTAAATTAAGATCCATCTGTTCTATCAGCAAGAGTTTGTCCTGCTTCGTAATTTGAGGGAAGAAGGTGTTCTGAACAAAGCAAAGACATTGCCTGATAGGAGATGGAGTTTGTTGGCCAAGGAATGCTATATAAAAATACTAGTTCTTTTTTCCCTAAGAAATCATTAGTCAAGAAATGCATGATAATGCAGTTCTCATATGTGTTATTAAATAAAGCATGTCCTACCATCTACGTAAGTGGTTTTCATTGTGTGTGTCAGTTTCAATGTAAATCAATTTAAAGCCAGGAGAATCCTTCTAAAACTGATCTAATGAAACAGTGCAGAGTGCCCTAAGGAATATGTGGTATATTCCCCATCACAGCCACCATCCTCCCAACCTTTGGCCTCATCAAGGCTCAGTAGGATTTCTCCCTCTGAGGGCAACTTCTAGGCACAGCACAACAATTTATTTAAGTGCAATTTGGTCAGAGGTGAACCAGACCAGAAACAAATCCAGACTGTTCGATAGTCCTGCACTACAGAGAAACTCTGGATTAAGCGATGGGGGCTAGCTCTGAGGCTAGCTGTTCCATAAAGGCTTGGGGTGCTGGAATGTGCACTCAGGTCACCAAATTGTACAGACAGGCTGGTAAAGTAGTCTGGATGGCACCCTTGAAGTCCAGGGGACCACCTACTAGACTTGTCAAGGCACAGAGAACTGGAGACTTGTGGTTGGGAGCCTCAATTCAAGGACTACAAGGAGTCTTAGACAAATGATCACCACAGAATTCAAAGTCACTCATGGGCCCTTGACTTTAGCATCCCCATTTGATCAGATACAACCACACAACTGAGATTGTGGTAACCCAAGGAGGTCCTTCTGTGGCACTTCTAACTATTATGAGGACTTGTTGTTATTTCTATACTGCCCAATAGCTGAAGTTCTCAGGGCAGTTCATAAAAAATAAGACTGCAATACAATTAAAGTCCATTAACATTTTCCAGTATACAAAACATTGGAATAAAGGGTTTAATGAATGAAACCATTTAATCCCTTAGGTAAGAGGGCCATCTTAACTTGGTGCCAAAAGACTGAGAGGACAAACAGTATTTCCCAAGAGCTACCTTCTGGAACTGGCCATCCAAGTAGAAGAACAACTGCAATGCAGTATCTCCACTACCAGTTCAGACAGTTGCTTCTGATGGGTACCTTGGTTGAGGATATCAAATATCACTGAGTGGCCCAACCGTGTTAACAAGGTCACACTCCCCATCTCTCTCCTTGCACAGGTCATCATACAGGATGGCCAAAGCTGCTTCTATGCCAAAACCTGAAATAGATCCAGATAATCAGCCTCATGTAAGACTGTCCGGGGTTGGCTGGCCACCACTCACGCAAGCACCTGGGCCAGGAGAGGAACACTTGTCATAGCCCTGCAGTTGTTACGGGAGGATTTCTGCAGGTAGGGACAGGACGGCCTTACAATCTAAAACAGACTATAGCTAAGGACAGGTTGGAGGCTACTGTTGCTGGCCATGTTTCATGTCTGAACAATGCACATTTACACTGTTATCAGGGCCAGTCCAAGACATTTTTCTGCCTGAGGCAAAATACAGAAGTGCCATCCTCCATTCCATGTGCAGAATCCATTTAATTATTTCTTATTTTCAGCTCCACCTAAGTATTTGGGGTTTAATACAATCCAAGTAAAGCTGGGTTTAAACTGTACAAGTGAAGCAAAAACAGAGAGAGAGCTCAGTCTCCCAAAATGCAAATGCATGTATGCAAATCTAGGTAAATATATTTCTTTTACTAAACTATATGCATGTAAACTTATATACATGCATTTACTCATGCATTTATTAATGTCTGAGCATGGGATCAAAGTTAAAATTTAAAAACAAGTACAAAATAGGTTGTAATTACCTATATTTAAACCAATTTTACAACATAATTATAGCTCACATCTTCTCATGTTGTTGTTGTTGTTTTTAGTTGCAAAATCGTGTCCGACCCATCATGACCCCATGGACAACATTCCTCATTTTACAATTTATTTATTTATATAAAGATTCATTTCCAGTTTCTTTACCATGGTTCACAAACACTAAAAGTCCCACATTCATGCACATGATAGAAGAAATTCCTCCACCCCTGACCTATAGAGTTCTATGGTAGCTGGACTTTCCTTCTTTCTTCTTGTATATCCTGTCTTTAAAGCAATGAGGGGCTATCACGTTAGCTCATAAAATAATGTAAAAATTGAGGACCATACCCACCAATGAACACAAAAAAGCAAAGAAAATTGTTTGCAAGATGAAACATATTTATTCAAGCTAAAATATTCCTTCAAATTCTGCAGGTTTATTACAAAATAATTTGATTCAGATTTCAACCTCAATAAATCTATTAAATCCTGCATTTTTTGTATCACAGTTAAAATAAATAATATCACTACAACCACCACCATCACAAAAAAACCTCCATAACATGACCTGTGGACTGGGGGGAGTTCCTAGAACTTAAAAAACAAAACAAAAAAAACTTCATACTGGTCACTGAGGATGTAATTCTATACATACTTAACTGAGAGTAAATCCCATCAAACTAGTGGGACTTATTTCCAAGTAAAGACATTCTGGATTGCATTGTTTAGAGTGGAACTTCTGCGACTGGCAAAAATATGTGGGCAGATGGAGATTTAAAAAGGGGTGGGAACAGCATTTTTCTTCCTTTCCACTTTTGGCCCTGAAAGTGAGCTTACCTGGCTGAAAGCCTGTTAAAAGCATTTTAAACATTGGTCATTCCCCCTCCCATATGCTTATCATTTGCCCAGCCATTAATCTTCCTCTGAATTTTTTTAAAGTTGTTAAAACAGAGCAATATTAAGATTTGTGGTGCTTTGGCAATTGACCAGCGCTATCTGAGATTTGTTGCTTCATGCACATAATGAGCTCAGAAGGAGTCACTGAAGCATGGAAGGTTACAAAGGTACTTTACAGTCACATATCTCTGTATAATTTGTTAGATTACAGTGTTATTATGTACAGGCTATTAGTACTTCTATTAGATGGCCATAACGGGAGACATGATCTGAGTGCAGTGGCTAAAAGATGTGTGTGCATCAGAAACACTAACAAACAAATAGCCTTGGTAATGATCTCTGCCATGCTCCTAGGAACAACAACAGCAACAACTACAATTAATTTCTTGCACTATTTGCTTTGTATAGTCAGTTCCGCTGCCATGCTTTTTGAGAGCAGCTACATTTACAGTTGTACAACAAATGTACAATTGTTGTCACACTGGAATAAAGGATAGATATTTTATTTAAAATTGGTCACAGAGTCCTTATATTGCTTTACGAATAAAAGGAAAATGCAGAGACAAACATGTTGCTCATTACTGTACAGGAACAAAACTTATATATACAGTGGTACCTTGGCTCACGAACGCCTTGGTTCACGACCAAATTGGGTTGCAAACAAAAATTTCATGAAAATTTTGACTTGGGTCGTGAACTCCACATTGGGTGGCAACCGAGATCGTGGCCATCTCCCCACTCCCCCAAGTGGGGAGATGGTCACGATCGCAGTTGCGTTCGTGCAGGGAAGACATGCGTGATCATGGGTGCACTCCTGGAGGAAAATCGGGTGCAATCTCGCCCCGCCGCCCAAGTGACTATACAAAAAACAAGTGAATACAGACTGATTTGTCATCAAAATTGACCCTGCAGTTGAGACAAAGAAGAGAGGAAACAGGGCTTACTGTGTCTTGTAGCAGAAAACAGCTTGCCTGTCAGCCAGGAAAACCAGGCACACATACCCTCAGTGCATTAACTTTGGGAGGGGTAAATTATTTTCTCACTTCTTTCCACATGTGCTAGGTGTTCCAGTCTTAAGGCAAGAACTAAAAGCAAAATCTTGGGCTTTATACTACACTTGGGCATGAGCGAGAGGAGGAAATCTGTGAACACTCATTGTAAAAATATGGCTATCTAGATTGGGTTGGGGTGGGGAGGGCAAGTTTTTTCCCTCCCTTGTTCTACTGGTGTGCCCACAACTGGAATATTGTGCTCAGTTTTGGGCCCCTCATTACAGAAAGGATATAGCCAGGTTAGAGTCAGTGCAGCGCAGGGCTACAAGGTTGGTGGCCAGTTTGCAGGGCATGAGGTATGAGGAGAGACTGAGGGAACTGGGTCTCTTCAGCCTGGAGAAAAGGAAACTCAGAGGGCATATGTTAGCAACATACAGGTATGTGAGGGGATGTCACATTGAGATGGGTAGAGACCTGTTCTCCCCTGCAGAGGAGGGCAGGACGCGCTCCAATGGAGCAAAGCTCAGAGAACCAAGGTTCCATTTAGATGCCAGGAAGCACTTCCTGACAGTTAGGACCCCAAGGGTATGGAATGGGCTTCCGCGAGAGGTAGTTGAGGCCCCATCGGTGAGCGTGTTCAAAGATAGGCTGGACATGCACATGTTGGGCATGTCGGAAGCGGAGCCGGCTGGTGCCGGAGGTCAGATTAGATGGCCTGGGAGGCCCTTTCTGACTCGCACTGTTTCTATGTTACTGCAAAATCCTAGGCAAAATGAGCTTAGCAGCACCATTTCCGATATACATTATAAATATTTTCACATGCAAAGGCTCAAGGATGACACAATTTTATTCCTTTTTCTAAATTCATAGGTCAGCTGATCAGGTATTCCTGCAAAAGGTTAACAGCTAGAATTGCAAGAACTTTACACTGAACATGAGAATCATTGTTCTTTGGTGCCTGGAAATCATTTCATAAATTGATACTGACTCAGTCTAGAAACTGGGTACTCCTGTGTCCTGAATGACAGGGCTGGTCCTTAAATGCTCTCCAGTAAAGTACTTCAATGCCTAGGATAGAACTGTGTGTGCTCAGTGTTAAATATAATAATAAAAATATGTCTTGGTCAAAGTTCTATTGCAAGGAGAGATGAACTCTGCAAGTTGTAGAAAGTATGCATATTAACATGCAATCCTATGCATGTCTATTCAGATATAAATCCTACTGAGTTCAGTGGGATTTACTCCCATGTAAGTATGTATTGTAGCATAAGTTTATGTTTTATAGTGTGCTTTTTAGTAATGGGGAGGAGGATGGACTTTTGCAGAATACTGAACCTCTACTTTTCCTTATCACTAGACATTTTATCAAGTTATTCCTCTGACTTTGAGATTTATTACCATTCGTTAGGTTCACCTTTGAGCCTATCTTTCTAGCAATAAGAGTTATCCATCCATACATACATACATACAATCTTTGTGCCAAAATAAGGCACTCCAGGTTAACTAGCCTTAAAGCCCTGATTAAAAACATCATCTTAATTGAAGCATAACATAAAAGCCAGAGAAAAATTACAATTAAAAACAGAGAAATAATCAGGTTCAACCAATTTTAAACCTATTCAAATCACAGATCAGCTTAAATGCCAAAACACCTTTTCCTAATAGTGAAAGGACAGCAGAGAGTACATCAACCTAGATTAACAGAAGGCAACAATCAAGTAAACCAAGCTTTAAAGGTGGACCACAGACATTTCAGAGCCAAAAGTTAGAAGCCAAGGGCAGCACAAAGTTTCTTGATGAGCATGGTAAAAAAGCAAGCATAAAACTTACAGGAGCTGCATTATTCTTCACTGTCACACTGGGGGTTGTGGCACGCAGTGCTCCACTCACTCCATGATAGTACTTGAAGCAGATCTTTGTTTCAGCTAGAAGAAAGAGTGATCTTATTAACAATATGTAGCTTTGGTCCTCATCTGTTAGGTAAAACCCAAACACATTGCACAAAATTTCATGGCAAGTTGTGTAATATAGTGTTTCTTCTTGGTGCAAATGAGAGAGATCCAAGAAAGGTCCCCATTTAATGAAATGTTACTGTGTTGAAAACCCATTGAAATTATTGTAACTTTAGTAAGTCACAACTAACTAGTCCCACAATATCAAAAGAACAAGTGAGTTTCTCTGAACTGTGATTTCTAACTGTCATAAGTGTTGGCATCAGACATCAATTTCTGGGTTGTTCACCACACCAAAAAGGAGACCAGAACCTTACAATAGAAGAGAAGAACAGACACATTTTTAATATCCCAAGGTGATATGTGAGAGATGTTGAGAGCACTTGTTCCTAACAGACTCCATAGATGAGATTAGAAATGTGATTTGATTTGGAAAAGTATTTTGGAAAAGAATTGAAAGGCCTCACTGTTCCTAGTTTCTGGTTATTAAAATACAAGGTTCTGCCAAACATAATCTAATTTTGGCATTTCGTTTCACAGTAATACACAACCAAACTAGCTGCCAAAAAACTCTCCTTTTGCCAAACATCCACATTACCCTTGGTGCTTTGTTCCTCTGGCTGCTGTTTCCCAGCACCCCTTTTTCTTCCTTTTGTTCTCACATTCTCAGCAGAATTAGCCCACAATATTGTTGAATCAAGTTAGATATGGTAAGATATGGTTCACAACATCCTTGTATCAGCTGTTGAAGCATGACATCACAGGCAAAATCATACGAAGTCACCATTGCCAGGGGGTGGTGACACTGTGGACAAGCAAGTGTAATCCTAGATTGAGATTCCGTGAACTCAGTGGGACTTACACCTGAACAAATACGTGTTGGACTTCACTGTAAGAGCAGTACCAAAGCTACACAAATGTGTTTGAAACCAAGTGGTGAAAAATGGCTGAAAGTGAGAGGTGCTTTTCAGTGCAGCCAAAAAAGAGCAAAAAAGAAGGTGAGTAGTTTAGGCTCAGTCCAATGAAAACGGCAGCCAAACATGGAGAGGAAAGATCAGTTGTATGGTACTGTGGAAGCAAGAAGAGTTGTGTCCATTTCAGAACACAATCAAGATGGGTGATCATGCCTGGCAGCAGCTGAACCACAAGCACAGACTGAATTTCCATTTTGTATTTCTCTCTACAGAGACTGTAACAGCTCAGCAGCCAATGTTTTCAGTCATTTACCAAGCACTGTAGCAAAACTGATATCAGAATAACTGCATCATGCAAGGAGAAATGGGCTGGTTCTCTAAATTAATAGGAATTGAGTAATTTTCTTGGATTCCTCCTACCCAAGCAGTACAGTGGTACCTTGGCTCACGAACGCCTCAGTCACGACCAAATAAGGTCGTGAACAGAAATTTCAGAAAAAAAATTACCTCAGTTCGCGAACTCTGCATTGGGTGACAACCACGATCGCGGCCATGTTGCCACACAAAGACAATCGCGATTGTGCCCATCTTCCCTGCACGAGCGCACCCATGATCATGCCCCTCTTCCCCCCAAGCGCAACTGTGACCATCTTCCCAAAATGAGCGCGATCGCGATCACCTCCGTCTTCCCTGCACAAGCATGAGCACGATCATGGCCATCTCCCCCAGCACGATCGCTATCGTACGATTATGGTTTGAACTCTCCCTCCAAACAATAACCTCCCCCGCACCTAGGTTAGTGTTCTCTACTGTACTGTACTTTGTTACTTTGTTGTTCTTTGTTACTTTGTTTCAAATTTTTGTGATAAAAAATATTTAGAGAACAGATTAAACTTATTTACATTGAACCGTATGGGGAAATATGACTTGGCTCGCGACCAATTCAGGTAGTGACCACAGTCGTGGAATGGATTATGTTTGTGACCTGAGGGACCACTGTAATAGGGGCAACCAGGATTGAAGTGATGTTTGCATAGAAGTCCTCCCTAGAGGCTATACTCAAAGAAATCCCTTTACCTGCCTGAGCAGCAAGATGCCAAGAAGAAAAAACCCTAGCCCTTTTAACTTCCTGAAACTTCTTTTAGTAGGCAATGTGCTGCTATATATGACAGACTAATGAAGGATTTAAAGCTTAAAATTTGATTTTCCAGGAACAGCAGATATTGTGCTTTTAAAACAGTATGCCAAGGAATTCCTGGGGAGTTTCAGGAAGGAGATTTCTCAAAAAGAAAGGGCAAGAATGGGACAAGGCAGGCTTTAAATAGCAACTGATCAGACTTTGGGGTTCCATGACCAACCGTGGCACAGGGACCAGCACAGGAGAAGTCTATGCTATTCCACTGCTCTCACTGGCTGTGTCTCTGAAAGGCAGTGTCTGATTGGTTCAGACTGTGCCTCAGCACATTGGTAGAAACCGTTTCCAATTAGAACACAAAAATTGCTAAGAGAGTGAGGCACAATTAAAGATGGGGACCGGACACAGGAACCACAGAAAGTCATTTCACTGGCATTTTTTCTTGCTCTTCTTGCCCGTGAGGCAGAATGACACATGTGGCCTTTCACAGAGGACATATCATGTAAATAAGGGGTGGTATATTCATAAAGGTAAGTTATGAAAAGATGGGAAAGAGGAACAAGTTAAAAAGATCCTTCTAACATGATATATTCTTTATAAAGGCCTCAATGGGCTGCATTAAGGAACATCTGGTGAGAAAACACACCAAACAGTGAAAGTTAAGCACTTTAGAATCCCATTAATTGCAACATAACCAACTCTCCTGAGATTGGCGGGGCTTAGTTTAGAACATAGGAAACAGCCTTATGCAAAGGCAAAGTCAATCCATAAGTTAGCTTAGCACTGTCTATCTATACTGACTAGCAGAGGGTTTCCAGGGTTGAAGACAGGAATCTGTCCCAGCAGAATCTGGCTGTACCAGCAATTGAACCATGGACCTTTTGTCTGCACATTTTTTATAACTGTGCTACAGCTCTTTCCTGTGGGTAATTTTGGCTAAAACATGTTCAATGTTTATCCAAAAAAATGTTCTGCTGGGTAATGTATAAAGCTTGAAATACAGCAGCAGACAGAAGTTTCTGTCAGCTATTTCACGTGCCTCTAAAGGGGCAAGGCGGAAAACTAATTATTTCCCAATGAGGGTGCATTTGATGTGTAGATGACATGCTACAGATATCCATAGATAAACAGATTAGTTTTTGGTAAAGGCTAAGCAAGTTCTTCCACTTTCTCTACAGTCTATTATTCCACCTATAGCTGCTTCCATCATCACCATCATCTTTATTCCTCTCCCGCTCACTGGGTAATCCATGAAAATACACATCACAACACAAAATACATGCTCATTTAGAAGTAATTCCCTCTGTGCTCAGTGACACTGTTTCTCCTTTTCTGTGTATTCAGGCTTCCCATGTTTAGGCTTTTCTCTGCTGAGTAGCAAAAGATCTTGTATAGAACTATTTTTCTAGGTTTTGCAAAGCCAGCAAGGTTGAACCAATGTACCAGAATATCCACAGTGAACACAGAAGACCTCCTTTCAACAAAGTTACCTAAGCTCAGTGAGGTTCTGGGTGCATATTGCTCAAGCAGCAACCTCTTATCCCAGAAAGTAAACTTTCTTTAAAACTTTTTTAAAAAGTTACACAACCCTTGTAAGGCACACCCAAATCCTGGGGAAGCTGGGAGAAGCCCTTTGGATTCTGGGCCACGGAGTGAACGGATGTTACTAATCTTGCAATACTACTGTTGGAATGTGTAAAGTAACTAAAAGGCTTCCTTAGGTGAGCCCCGGAGCTTATTGAATTTTATTCTATTTGACTTTTTTGGACAGCAAACTTTCTTGCTGTGCTTCAGAAACAGAAATCCAAACCTCCTTAAAGTGCAATCTTGTGCATGTTTGGAAAAAAAAGTCCTATAACTCCCAGCATTCCCTAGTTGGCTAAGAAATGCTGAGACTTGTACAGCTTTTTTCTGTTAAACATACGTAAGATTGTGCCTGTAGGCATTCAGAACTAGTTTTTAAGGGCTACAGGAATAACTTAAATCTTCAGTTCATATATTTCCTTTCATAAAATATTGTTCAAAAGGAGAGATGAGAAACTTCTGACAATTTGTTTTTGAAGGACCATACTAGGATTAAATCTCCATTACATCTTCTATTTAAATAAGCAGATGGAGAATGCATACAAAGTTCAAACCAGCAACTTTAAGTAGCAAATGCAAATGAATAAACCCAAACCATGATGAAATAAGGGTACTGATCTAAGCCTGAAACCAGAGCAGAGACTGCAGACTCCTGGGCCAGAGGGACTCCTCATCTATTGAGCTTTTGCTTTGAACTTTATAGGAGTCATCCTGTTTGTAAGCATCATTTAGGTCCAACATCATTGCTAGCTCCTATAAAACTCAGGAATAAAAGCTGCAATGCATGAGGAAACACATTATGAGAAAATTCAGCAACCTTCCCTGGCTTCAGAATCCACCAAATATTTCTGTGAACACGGGTGCACTAATTTAACCAAATTAACTAAGCACGTTTCAAAATATTTTGCTACCTATGATCTTCTAGAACAGAGAAAACTAATCATGCATGATGTTGCTCATTTGAATTAGAATTGCCTTATCTGTAAGTCCAAAATAAATATTGGGCAGGGCAAGGCACTCATACCTGAGTCTTGACATGGACAGTGTGCTTTCTAGCTCAGGTTTCCTAAGTTTGAGTTGGACCTGGACATACAGTCAGCAGAATGTATTGCTGTGCTGATTAAGTCAAGCCCATGACCCGGGATCAGTATTAAAAGCAGCCCTAACCAACTCAGGGCGTTCATCCTGCCTGGCAATCCTGGGGCCAGTGTTGCATACCTCTATGGTGACTCGACAGGCTTAGTCCTAGCCTCAAATTACAAAGTTCCTAATTCAAAATTAACAGTTCCTGACAATTACTCCATTACTTGTACAAAAAAATTTGCACAAAAATTTACAGC